CATACTGTCTACATTTCTCAGGTGCTCATCTTACTGGCTGTAGTGACTTATGCAAGGAGGAGACTGGATCTTGCCTTGGGTTGGGCTCTCATTATTTAAAAAAAAGAAAAAGAAAAAGAAAAAAAAGCCTAGCTTTTTATTGCATCATATCTTCTCCAAAGGCAGCAGTAAACCTGTATTAATTTTAGATTTCACTGGAAAGAGCAACAGCATTTGCCATGGTTTCACAGCAACCTGTGGTAATTATCAGAGTGCTTATCTAATTTCCCAAGAAGAGTGGCCCCTTGACATGGACACTCACATTAAAGGCTACCCAATCCTCAGCCGCATACATTGTCTGTATCTTTGTAGAATTCGTAGGCCTTACTTGCTATGTTACTGAACAGTTATGTAAAAAGAGGATATTAAATAATTTTCAATATGAGTTTATTAAATATTTTCCAAACTTTCATTAAAATTAAATAGATATAAGTTTTTATATTGTCTTCTTCATGTTAATATTATGTATAAACTTCAATTGCCAGCCTCCAGAAGTATTTGCTGATGACATTTAGAAAGGTGCAGGTCAAATTTCATTAGTGCTCTGTTGAATCGCTTTGGGGCATAGGTTGATTTTTTTCCACCTCACACTACTTTTTAAATAGGTAACAATCTTGTCTATTTCACTTTTCTTTCAGTTGTAGGATGTGGCCATTTCAGTAGACAGAAGGGGTAGGAATAGAGCAAAGGTAGAAGTGCATTTTGGAAAGGATTTTGGATTTAGAAACAGTTTGAATTCTCACTTCACCATTCCCTTGTGGTTGGCTAGAGTGGGGACTTAAATCCTGAGGGCAGTGATGTATGTCAAAAGAATGTCAGTGGGGCACTCATATATCTGATGAAAGTTGAAGTCAAGATACTGTGTAGCTCAGGTTTTTCCCTGGTGTATTCAGGCGTTTGGTGAACTCAAGAGAAATGCAACACAGTTTCTGGTCAGAGAACCTGCAGTCCATGGACAACAGGGAGGTAACCAGCTCTGGGATCCAAGTGAGAGAAAAAGAAGCAGCATTAAACAGAAGGCTAAACAGTGGATTGGAGAGGCCCAGAAAGAAGGATCCTGCATAGGAGATGATGGGTACTATGGTTTGGATAATGGTTTGTCCCTCTGGAAGCTTGGTCCTCAGTGTCATGGCTTTAGCAGACACTTTAAAAGGCAGAGTCTAATGGAAAGGCACCATCCAGTCAGCTGGGAGCATGGAAAGGACAAACAGAGGAAGCAGAAAAAGTCTATTTCCTCTTCCTCTCTCTCCTGCACACACCTTTCTTTGCTTTTGTCAACCATGTTGTCAACTTTACATCTTTGGACTTCCCAGCCACCAGAATCATGAGCCAAATAAACCTCTGCTCTTTGAAATCACCTAGTCTCAGATATTTCTGTTAGCAACACTTTAACAGACTAAGACAAAAGACATGGGCTCTTCAGAAGTGAATTAAAGCAAGATGTGGATGGATGAGCAAGATCATCAGGAGAGAAAAAGAGGGTGTCACATGTCAGGAAGGGATGTACTTACGTCACAGAGAGACCAAGGGACCAGTGGGAGAATAAAAAGAGTCAGATGAAGCCACTTTGCTCTCTCCCTCATTTCCTCACAATCTCCCTTCATTCCCTTCTTTTATGCTTCCGCGGCAATTTTGTGCCAGGCACTGAGGGTATGTGTTGAGACACACATTTAACCCTCTTTGATGGAGCTAAGAGGGGCAGCTCTCTTTTCATTAGGAACACAGACATCAATAAGCAGAGAATGATGCCACTGCAAGTCCAGCTATGGAATGGAAACCTCTTTCAGTGGAGCAGAGGATAGTCAGAGCTTTTGCCAGGAGAGTTTCTGTAGCACTACAAAGCAGGGTATATACTGATTAATTGTTTTCAGAGCTCAGTAAAATGATTTCAGTCTAGTGTAAACATGAAGAGTTTAAACCTTGGAGTCAGACTGCCTGAGCTTATATCTCAGCTCTTGTTCTGACAATAGGTGTAACCTTGAACAAGTTGTTTAACATTCCTCCACCTCAGTTTAGTTATCTGTAAAATGAGATAATAATAATTCTCTCATGAAAGTTGTCGTGGGGATTAAATGAGCTAATACATGTAACCTCTTAGAAAAATGCCTGATATGTATTAGCCTCACATAAAAATAGAATATTCTTTTTAAATGACCTTTTCTTGTGTACTAAATTAGGGAGAATTTCGAACTTCCAAAAGATAGGCCAGTTGGCCCACTCTTGCTAGAAGCATCAAATATTGCCCAAAGAAATAAAACCATAACAATTACATAGAGTCAATCTGATTATTATATTACTTTCCTTCCCTAGCTTGGGAAGAAAATTAAATGAAAATACATGCATGCATATATGTATATGTGTGTGTGTATATATATATATGTGTCTATATACATGTGTGTATACACACACACACACACATATATATATAGAATATATATATATGCATTATATATATATATATATATATATATGTATATATATATATATAGAGAGAGAGAGAGAGAGAGAGAAGTTTGTTTGACCATTTAAAGAATTTGGTCAAGTTTCAGAAATATCTTACTAACTTAAAACAAGGGTTAGAATACCATAGAGTAGAGAGAGAAGCCCCAAGACACTCGTCTTCTACTTTGTCTAAGCTCATGGTCCTTCAGCACAGCTCCCCATGACAGAATGCACTAGGTAATGCACCTGCCCAGGCAAGGATGCTGCTGAGCGCTTTCTACTGTGAAAAGCAGAGGTATGTTTCCTAGGGAGAGAATCAGAGCAATCCGCCTTCCCACGCAGGATGGTAGGAATAAGACAGAGTGGTATGCAGTGGGCAAAAAAATGACCTAGATGGTGGCAGTGTTCAAAGAGAAATCCCCATGTTCATAATCAGATTTAATAATTTGGGTTCCAATAATGGTTTGTCCTCACTAGCTCTTCAGTGAAATAATACTAATTTAGAAGTTGACGAGTAGATGGAGAGCATCTATTAACTTTCAAACACATTTGCATATGTGCATTAGCCGAGTGTTATTAAACCAAAAATTTTCAGAGTGCTTATCACAGATTTTGTAGTTTATCCTTCTTTAAAAATAAGCTTTCAATATCCCAAAGTACTTCTTATTTCCAAAATGAAAAATTATTTCTATCCTTTCCAGTGTACTGTGATTGAGTTGTTAATTCTCATCACTTCCTATTATATATATTTTTCTCTTTCTTTCTCTTTCTCTCTCTCTTTCTCTTTCTCTTCTTTCTTTTTTTTTCTTTCTTCCTTTGTTTCTTTCTTTTCTTTTTTGCTATAGGGCATGTGTGCTCACCAGAGAGAGAGAGAAAAGGAAAGTGACAAATCTTCCCCAGAGGTATAGCCATTCTGCAATCCCTTCTCCTCCTTTCTCCTGTTAGGACTTTGGGCACGCACACACACATGTCTGGCATGTTTTTAAAATTATGTCTGGAAGCTCGGAAAAAGCAACTTCAAAAATATGCTTGAAATACAGAATTGATTTATTTGTAATGATGGCATATTGTCAACTAGTGATTCATTCAGAATTGTAATTATTCAGAGTTATTCTTCATTTAGAATTGTAAAAGCAAGAACCAAGTTTCAATAAATGAATCTTCACATTAAATTGAATAGGAATATCTTTCTTACCAAATTTCACCAAACTTTTTAATTTGTTTCTGGTTTTTAAAAGAAAAACAAAATAAATGACTTTACAGAATGAACTATCTCAAGTATATGTTGGTATTTAATCTTTAGCAAATGTAGAATTTAATAGTATCCATGAATCAGCAGGGTCAAATGCACATTTTAAATATTACATGTAAAGTAGTAAATATTTATTTATGTGTCTATATGTGTGTGAAAGAGAGAAGGAGAGACAGAGAGACAGACAATGAGAGAGAGAGAAGTTAGGGTAATGATAAGTTGACTCTGGTGGTACATAGATTCAGACTTAAGGTAAGTAAAGAAGATAATTTGAGATTCATCCAATGAACACAGATTGCTTAAGCTTATTTTTTAAAAGGTATTTAAAACCATCTATTAATTCTTTGATAAGCCGGTTGTTTTGACAGGCAGAGCCTGTCCATACAGTGAAATCACACAAGTTGGGATTGTTTATTGGCAAGCCATGTATCAATTCTGCTTTTGCTTCTGTCTCAAAAACACTTGACACAAAAGTGAGAATATGACGAATTGATCCTCTCAAGTCGGTAGACCCCTTAGAGGATTTTTGATCATTTGTATTGTAAATCATCTCAAATGGTGATACTTAGGGCATCACGTTGTTTTCCCTATTAAGTAGCATGTGTGGAGACAGTTCATGAGTTTCAAAGATACTGTCTGTGTACAAATTCTAAATCTTGACATAAATGTTTTATGGATTACACATCAAACAATAAAAAGTCAGTAGTATTCAAGTGTATGAATGAACCAATAACAAATACAGTTTCGTAGTTTCTTTGTGTTTATTCTAGTGTGTTATATGAAATGAATTTTTTCATTGGTGGCTCTTATATAACTTACTTGTTTTCTAAATTTTTCTACAAAGGCAAGAGACAATCACCTTTTTTGTAGTAGACCCTAATGTGTTAAGAGCAAAATAAACTACCAGATAGAAGAGGCCTCACCATGTATGGTTGGAGCGTATTTAATTTCATGCATGCATGAAAGATTAATCATGCAATCTCATGTACTAAATGTTCTTTAGCCATCCACACTTAGTACTATTATCCAGGGTAAAACTAGATTAAACTTGCACGATGGTGAAAATAATGATCTTAAGGCAATTCATTCATCTTTATCTACTTGTCTATTTTTCATAACATGGATCAAATGGAAAAATTCATTTTGGGGATGATCAGATTGCAAAGGGTCTAACATTGTGAAGAGAAACATGGGGCTGAAAATGTTTCCTGTTTTCTGTTTATTATACACAGCACCTTTTCCTCACATGCCTCTGTTTCTCTTTTAGTGGCAGAGCATTTCTATAACACTGGTTGAGAAAGTTCAGATGATTGCTGTGATCCTAGGATCCCTCTTCTTAATAGCAAGTGTGACTTGGCTTCTCTGGTCAGCCTTCAGTCCCTATGCAGTGTGGCAGAGGAAGGACATCCTTTTTCAAATCTGCTATGGAATGTATGGTTTTATGGATCTAGTGTGCATAGGTAAGACCATGATGTTAAACACTAATGAACTGTCAGTAATCCATTTCTTTCAGCCATTATGTGTTTACCAGTTGGATGGCATGTTTATTGTTCTCCCATTAATTGTTTGTGGGGAGGTGGGGAAGGCTGTCACAGTTGGGTCACTTTACAAAAGCACAGCATCTATATTCCCAAGTAGTTTGAAAAAAATAACAGGATACTATACATTTAAGTGACATATTTTGCAAGTCAAAGAAAAGAAGAGGGATTGAAGAAATTATCTGGGGTGATAAGAACTGTCATTTATTTCTAAAGGATAAGAGCAATTCAGTTCCACTCTACACAGCTGGGGAAGCACTGACTGATGCAAAAAGGCAGACTAGACATCTTACATCATGTGGTGGCTCCAATTTCCTGAGGGCGTAAAGGGCTCCTGGGAGGGTTAGGGACTTGGGGACATTTTCCTTGCTGGCCTGGGATGCTTTGTTTCACTTAATAAATTGGTAGTTTAGAAGAGAAAAATTATCAATTATTTTAGCTATGTAGAATAGGGCCTGCAGAAGGTTACATATGTGTTTCACTTCACAGCTCCATTTTTTCCCTAATTCCATGAGACAATGGAAGCTGATGCATACAGTGTGTGCTGTGTGTTGTGTGTGAAGGGGGCGTGGGGGGTTCCACTGGAATACCAGAGGCATAGGGGATTGTGGGAAATGGCTGGAAAGGAAACATCATGATATTAGAATTTCCCTGCTCTGATGTGGTTTATGGCCTCGTGGGATATACAAAGAGCTGAAGGAGGTAGCCATGATTTAAAACTGCGGTTCAAAGTGAACCTTGTGGACCATTGGCAGCATCAAGATCTGCATCACTATTTATAAATGCACAATTTGAGGACCCACCTCAGACCTACTAAATTATAAACTCCAGGGGTAGGGCCTGGGCATCTGTTTTGGCAAGCCCTCCAAGGTACTGCTCCAGGATGAAACTTAAGAACCACCCATTCCAGGGAATATATGCGAAGCTTAGCATCGAAGGACTTGGTTTTTCATCCTGGCTTCTGTTTGGGCAGGTCAGCCTTCTCTCTCCACACTCTTGTTTTCTCATACTATATGCACGAGAATAATAATCTATACCTTGCAAGTATAAATAAAGGAAGTAATGACTATAAAATAATTATGTTATAGGTAGAAGTTGTGGTTTAAGCATATTTAATTAGAAAGATATAAATAACTTTAAGATTACTTAAATGAATGCCAGTACTTACTAGAGTTTTAATTTAACTAGCAACTTTAATATCCTCGGGTATTTTTATTCTAAGAGAACTCTATAAATGTTAAAAATATGATCACCATGACTTTTCCTATATTTTTCTTTTCTTTCTTCCTTTGTCTCTAATACAAGATTAATGAGAATAAAAATGGTCAAATGTCAGGCTAGAAAGAAAAAAAGAAAGAAGAGAAATGTCATGAATGATAGGTAAATGGAGTATATGTTGCCTAAATAATTGGGTTAATCTTGTATATGAACACTTTTCATTAAATGTGATAATGTGTATGTAAGCAATAGGAAACTCTAAATCTCTATTCTAATATAATTCCTAGGGCATTACTCTAAATGAAAGAGAGTCACAAAAATGTTCTATAAATCAAATTCCTCAACAAACTTACAGATAACATTTGTTTTTTCCAACATGAATGCTATGATATGTGGTATTCCATTGATAATAAAAGGGGAAGTGCAAAATAAATGAACTGTTAGGTTTCTAATTCAACCGGCAGAGAAGAAAAGTCCAGCTGACTTTTGTTGATGTGATTATCACATTGACAAGCAAAATACGTTTCCTGGTGAGGAAATCGTTCTCTTAAATTTCTAAATTAGCATTTAGTGCTGAGTTATTATAGCTCATGCTTTGATTGCTAATGTTAGCATTTTAATCAAGATTATTAGAATTCTGTTTTTAAGAGAACAGACATGAGCTGATAATCTTACAGTACAATATGACATATTTGGGCTTCTCTTCTAAAATTTGAGCATTTGCCCACTTTACAGTCAAGTTTCGTAAAAACTAAAATAGTTGCCATTTTTTTGGAGACACTTTGTAGAGTGGATTTTTAGCTGAGTTTTAAATATTGACCATACTTTTTATTGTCTTTTGGCTCATCAAAATCAGATCTTATCATTCAATAATTTATTTGCATATTTTGAAAAATATTAAAGAATTTAGATTGAATGTTGCTTATTTCACTTGGCAATCTCATTAATTACTCTACTCTGGTCCAGAGAATATGTTATTTTTTTTCCCTAAGAAATTGGGAAACTATTATAGCAAAGAAAGCAAAATACACGTAGGCCACCAATAACCAACTTGGATGATAGCCAGTAATAGCTCCTGCTAACATTTCCAATTAATTCAAATGTCTGCTAATTAAATGTAGACAGTAACAAAGATCACATTGATTATACTTTAAATACTCCTGACTTGAAGACTTAGAGTATGAGTTAGGGTGGAAGGCAGGTTTACAACGTTGGGTTCAATTTGCTCAGCTCAGTTAAATAAATATTTATTGGGAATTCTCAAGACTCATGCTAGATGCTAGGAATACAAACGAGTCAGTCGTTTTCCTGCCCCCAAGGAGCTTAGCGCCTTCAGGGAAGAACAGCCAGATAGATAAGAAATTAGACTACAGTGGGGGGTATGCAGTGATGAGAGTATGCATGGGAAATGGGAGGTGGGCAGTGCAGGGAGTAATTATTGCTGTGGTGCTGTACACAGGGAGGGGAAAGTTTCAGGCAGATCTCACAGGGATGTGACATCCAAGCAGGCTGACAGATGAAGAGATACTTGGCAAATGGGAAGATGGCCTCCTCCTTACTGTTGAAGGATGTGAGATTGGCTCTCCATTCAGAGCACTTAGAAATACTTGGAAACATTCCCCCATTTCTGTCTGTCCAAGAGTTTCAAATTTGATTACACCTAAGTGAGAAGAGACAGATTGGCAGCTTCATAAAAGTTATTTTAGAAAATAATTCTGGAAATCCATAGAAGACGATTCCAGAATTCGAAAACATTATAGTCCAGCCAGTATACAAAAAATTTAGGAAGAGCTTGGGTTGTTAAATGAATTTAAATATTTATGCAACATTTATGTACTTGGGGGAAATTTGTTTACTTATTTCTAGACACAGTGACTTTTTCTGCTTTCATTCATATTTAATTAATAAATTTTCTTCTTTCCCAAGATTTAATTTTTTTTTTTTTTGCTATTAATGGTTTGAATTCTCCCAAGGTTCTTGGTCTTATTGTATAATAGTTGAATTATCCCGATCAGAGTTGTTCAATAGAACATCCTGCTATGATGAAATGTTCCACATCTGTGCAGTTCAATACCAGGACTCTAGCTCAGTTTGGCTATTGAGCAGTTATTTAAAATGTAGCTAGTGAGAATGAGAACTTAACTTTTAAAGTTAATTTTACTTAATTAGAAAACGACATGTGGTTAAAGATGATCACGTTAGACGAAAACAGATTCTAAACAACGGCCTTGTACATGTGTGCACAGGTTCAATGCACAGCTTCCACCTTGTCTATATAAGTGCGTTGTATTTCCTAAATGATAAAGAGGCTATTCCAAAAGAGACGGATAAAGTGAAAATGACTTCGGGAGGTTTAAGAGGAGAATGTGCCATGAGGTGTTCAGAGAGCCACAAAGGACAGACATGTTTGACAAATGACATTTTTAAGATGACTTCTGTGGGTCAAGTGTAAATTTTATTTTCAATCTACATGTATTATATAATCCACATCAGTTTCAAAGAAATTGTCGAGAGACATGTATATATTATGTTTGGGGAACTCTTTTAAGTACTTAAATGGGTTGCATTCAGACTAAGATCATCAACCAAGAAAACGAACATGAAGAATTTAAATCACAGAGATGTCGTAGCCAGTGGCAGTAATTCAGGGAGAAGTAAAAGCCAAAGCAGGTTAGCAAGATTTATACCGTGAACAAAAGAAGATTAGCGAACCCCAAAATGAAGAGCAAATGCATGGCAGAACGTATTGGATAGAGGATTTGGTTCTTCCTCCCACACTCTTTGCACATTGATTAGATAGAAAACTATCACTTCCATTGATCATGTGATTCAAAGGAAGGTTGTGTCATAAGAGGAATACGTTTGTTAATGCCTAGAAGTTTGAGAGGCTCATGAAGGCCACATGAGGATAGGGCCATTTGGTTAACTTTCATCTAAAAAGTGAACAGTTAGCAGCCATTTTAGTAGCTGGTAGAACCAGATCAGGTGGGTAGACTTTCTTGTTATAGAAGCCACACTCTTTACATTTAGTGGTATTCCCAGAATAGAGATAGCAAATGCCTTGTGTTTAAAGTAATCTACACTGCAAGTAAATCGCAAATCCAGGTCCAAAAAAGGTTTTGATCTTCCCTGAAATTATGAGAAGGAATTGGTTGTGGTTACAAAATTTAAAAGCATGAATTAATTTAGTTGTTCTTTGCATTTTTATAAATTATCCACATAATATCTGTATTTACACTGTCACGCATCACTTAATGTCAGGGCTATGTTCTGAGAAATGTCTCGTTACGTGATTTCATCACTGAGTGAACATTGTAGAATGTACTTACATAAACCTAAGTAACAGAGTGTGCTTTGCACCTAACCTATATGGGGTCACCTAGCCACTTCTTAGGATACCAACTTTGTGTATTCGAAATGTTTATAAGCAGGCACAATGGTATGTAAAGTGTTTATACACATGTCTTCATATTTGTGTTTATAATTGTGAAATCTATACGGTTAGGGAAAGCAAAAACTTCAGTTATAGTTCTCTTTATCTTTTTCAAAGAATTATTTTATTGAACTTTATTTATTTATCTTAATTTGACTGGAAAGGGACAGAGTGAGAGAGAGAGAGGGAAAGTGAGAAAGCAAGCCACCAGGTCTGGGACTCAAACCACAGTCGGTCATGTGGGAGTCCAGCGTCTTTAACCACAATGCCA